AATTTATAATCATAATTGGTTAGAAAATGATTAAGACTACATCGTAATTGACAAAGCGCAGCAAAATATTTTTACGCTTATGGGACAAAATGTTACGCAACTTCTCGATGCAAAATAAGTAAATCATGACTATTTATATCACTTCTATCATCCTATTGACTGTAACGTTACAATATCGTTAGCTAGGATGTAGTATAAAGATAGTTCTTAGAAATATGCTCGAAGTTATTTGAAAGTGAAAGTAGAATTTACATACCAGGTACTGATAATTACGACGGCAAAACGAAATCTTCTTGAATTTTTCCAATGCGCTGATATAAATAACAATGAACAAATTATTTCAATTAATGCTTTATCAGTTTGTATTTATATTTTCCATGTTTCCACATCAATCTATGTCTGATTAATATAGGGCATCTCACTTCCGGTTCAGACAACATAAAGACGATCGAAAACAGCTTGATCAGTTATTATGATATATCGGTTATAATGATACTTTTCTCTGGCAAATAGGATATCATAATAAACGGGTTCCACTGTAGTAGTTTATGCTGTGTCTAATATTGAAACAAATATCGGTGAAATATTTGTCAAATAATATCTAAACATTTATAACCTGTTGTAGAACATAAGTAAGAGGGGCAGCGGTGACTGAGTGGTTAAGGGCATCTGACTGTCTACAATCACTTACCCTCAACCACTGGGTTCAAGACCTTTGTGGGGCAGTCACCAGGTACTGGCTGAAAGTCAGTGGTTTTTCTCCGTGTACTCTGGTTTTCTTCCACCACTTCAACCTGGCACGTCCTTTAATGACCACGGCTGTTAAATAGGTCATAAAGCAGTAACAAACAAACCAAACATAAGCAGGTTAAATAAGTCACCTGCTCTACATAGGTCAATAGTGTCACATATAGTACATAAGTAGGTCAAAAAGTCTCACTCAAAGTACAAAAGAAGGTCAAAAAACGTCAGATAGTACAAAAGAAGGTCAAAAAACGTCAGATAGTACAAAAGTAGGTCAAAAAACGTCAGATAGTACAAAAGAAGGTCAAAAAACATCAGATAGTACAAAAGAAGGTCAAAAAACGTCAGATAGTACAAAAGTAGGTCAACAAGTGTCACAGATAGTACAAAAGTAGGCCAAATAGTGTCACTTATAGTATAAAAGTAGGTCAAATAATGTCACAGATAGTACAAAAGTAGGTCAAATGGTTTCACTTTCAGCACACAAGTTAGCCAAGTAATCTAACCTGTCGTACATAAATAAAATAATGTCAAATTGTAGAAAACTTACATTGCTCAACTATTTAAACTGCCTACAGACATGTCCCCTGCATGTTGTCGGGTTAAATATCTAAGGTACAGCTTATTGCTTCCAACAGTCTCAACCAACTGGTGTTTGGCAGAGCACAGATGATTTCAAGGATTATATTGCTCACAATCTATAACCACCAACATGCCTATTCCCAGGTGTGATACAAAATGTAATGAGGATAACATAGTATGAATTGCTCATAACTCTATAGCAGCATACAGCCCTGTCCTCTGGTGTAGGGCTGGTGACTAAATTGAACCATGACAAGATGAAGGTTTATGGTCTAGTAGACTTAGTTGTACACTGACAAGAGGTTCTGTAGATGACATGCTGCCTGCCCCTATGTTTTGTACTGGGCTCACATACACTGTTGTCAGCAGGATCTGAAGCATCAAATTTACATCTAATTTGCATCAATACAAAACAATATGTAAAGAGAGTTTCAAGCGTACATTGAAAAGAAGATTCCAGTTACACCATTTCATCATTAGTGAGGAACTGTAGTTTACTTTCCATGTCCCCTGGTATTTGTGTGGCTGCACATTGTGATGATGAGGGGCGGTGTACAGTGATGTGTTAGGTGTGTGTAACAAGGGATGTAGCATTCACAACATGTGGGGATCTACTCTCTGGACTGGGGATCTACTCTCGGGACTGTACCAGATGTTAGTCAGGAATTCTGAAACTCACTAGCAGCTACTAAGGTAATTGTTCAATTATGTTTAGCCCCTTTATCCATGGGGTAGGGATCAGTTACATTCCTTAATGACTGAATTATCTGTCATTATGCTTAATTATTTTAGAATTTATGATATTATTTATTGGAGAAAGCTTAACATCGGGATGTCATTACAGCTCTTGTTTGGGAAGTTGATGCCTTAATTGTGATACACCCACAGGAAATCCTATATTAACCAAGAAATGTGTAATGGTAGCTTGATCTGTGGTTCAAGGCATGGGGTAGGCTGGTGAAAATGGTTCAGTAACCTGACCTTTTCCATATGGGTCAGGTCATTGTGAGGGTATAAGTATAAATCTATAAGTCTTGACTTTTGGCAGATGGGGTAAGGGGTCAGACAGCCTGACCTGTGGTGGATGGGGTATGGGGTAAGACAGCCTGACCTGTGGTAGATAGGGTATGGGGTCTGACAGTCTGATCTGTGGTAGATAGGGTATGGGGTCAGACAGCCAGACTTGTGGAAGATAGGGTAAGGGATCAGACAGCCTTACTTGTGGTAGATAGGATATGAGGTCAGACAGCCTAACTTGTGGTAGATAGGGTAGGGGATCAGGCAGCCTTACCTGTGGTAGATAGGGTATGGGGTCAGACAACCTTACTTGTGGTAGATAGGGTATGGGGTCAGACAGTCTGACTTGTGGTAGATAGGGTAGGGGATCAGACAGCCTAAATTGTAGTAGATAGGGTATGGGTCAGACAGCCTAACTTGTGGTAGATAGGTATGGGGTCAGACAGTATGACTTGTGGTAGATAGGGTATGGGGTCAGACAGCCTTACTTGTGGTAGATAGGGTAGGGGGTCAGACAGTCTAACTTGGGGTAGATAGGGTATGGGGTGAGACAGCCTTACTTGTGGTAGATATGGTATGGGGTCAGACAGTCGGACTTGTGTTAGATAGGGTAGGGTAGGGGATCAGACAGCCTAAATTGTAGTAGCTAGGGTATGGGTCAGACAGCCTAACTTGTGATAGATAGGGGATGGGGTCAAACAGCCTAACTTGGGGTAGATAGGGTATGGGGTCAAACAGCCTTACTTGTGGTAGATAGGGTAAAGGGTTAGACAGTCTAACTTGTGGTAGATAGCGTATAGGGTCAGACAGTCTAACTTGGGGTAGATAGGGGATGGGGTCAAACAGCCTAACTTGTGGTAGATAGGTTATGGGGTCAGACAGTCTAACTTGTGTTAGATAGGGTAGGGTAGGGGATCAGACAGCCTAAATTGTAGTAGATAGGGTAGGGGTCAGACAGCCTAACTTGTGGTTGATAAGGTATGGGGTTAGACAGCCTAACTTTTGGTAGATAGGTATGGGGTCAGACAGTCTAACTTGTGTTAGATAGGGTATGGGGTCAGCCAGTATAACTTGTGGTAGATAGGGGATGGGGTCAAACAGCCTAACTTGTGGTAGATAGGTATGCGGTCAGACAGTATGACTTGGGGGAGATAGGGGATGGGGGCAGACAGCCTTACTTGTGGTAGATATGGTATGGGGTCAAACAGCCTAACTTGTGGTAGATAGGGTATGGGGTCAGACAGTATGACTTGTGGTAGATAGGGTATAGGGTTAGACAGCCTAACTTGTGGTAGATAGGGTATGGGGTCAGACAGTATAACTTGTGTTAGATAGGGTATGGGATCAAACAGTCTAACTTGTGGTAGATAGGGTATAGGGTCAGACAGTCTAACTTGTGGTAGATAGGGGATGGGGTCAGACAGTCTGACTTGTGGTAGATAGGGTATGGGGTCAGACAGTCTAACTTGTGGTAGATAGGATATGGGTCAAACAGCCTAACTTGTGGTAGATAGGGTATGGGGTCAGACAGCCTTACTTGTGGTAAATAGGGTATGGGTCAGACAGCCTGGTGTGTGGTAGAAGGGTAGGAACTTGTGATAGAAAGGGTAGGGGTCAGGTAGTTGGAATCATTGGGATGAATGTTTCGATTTAAAATTATGATGTGCATGCTATTGAAAATTTGTCCATGCAACACTGATCTCTACTAGAAGTTCATTTGGCATACTCAAGGGGTAAATGGAAGGTAGAAGGCAGGTTCATTGAGCGTTATTCCTTACTCGACAATGCATGAGGCATGGATGTTGAATAACCCCAATAGTTACATGTTTTCTTGCCATTATGAGCTATTAAATCCAGGTTGCTAGTTTCACCCTTAGGCTTTCCTCTGTACCAATTAGACTGGTGCTGATAAAGGGTTTACTTTTGTTATGATGTGGGGATGTTTAACTGTGATTTAGGGTTTGTCAGGATGTCCAATAACACAGCTGGGTAGACAGCTCCAATAATAGTGCTGTAGTAATACAGTACATTTGTATGTTGTTTTACCCGAGACAAGTCAAAGCCCTGTAATTCCTTTACAAAATATTCAGTTTGTTGTAAAATGTCTGCAATTTATAGCTTGTAACCATTACCTACCTTGTATAAAAACAATTGTAATAGATGATAATGCTATCAGTTTTAAGCACACACACTGGTATACCCTGTATCTGCAGCAATACTACGCAGAAGACTGTTGCTGTAGAACTGAGCAGCACTGCACATATCTCAGTGGAGCATTTCCAGTCAAGTGGTTGACATTCCTTGGCTAATTTTGCCTCTGTGTTATGCTGCAGCTGTTAGCCATCGAAGTGTTCATAACAAACTTCTATGCATGTTGACTCCATTATAAATGGCTGTTTCCAGACAGGAATTCCGTGCTCTGCCTCTGAGAATTTCAACAGAAAAAAGTTCCTGCTGGATGTTAAACCTTTCTGCTATTGTTACAGGAAGGCAGAACATGCTAAGCCAGTACAAGATTGCCTCCAAAGTCTGTCACAATTTTATATCGGAACTAGACAACCAGACCAAACATAAACATTGTTTGTGGAGTTTAGATTAGCTGTATATTCTAAATACATTCTTGCTGTTCATGATCTGTATGTTTTTGTCTGTTACAGAGTTAGAGACTGTGAAGAAAGCTACACCCTTGTATGGTCAGCCGGATTGGTGGGGAGAAGATGTTGACCCTAGTAAGTTTTACAGTCAATATACAAACCCATCCCAAACACAGAATTATATTTCCTGTCAAACCATCTCCACTGATAACACTAAAGTATCTTTATTCTCAAACCATCTTTCGCAAACTCCAGTAGAATGTTCCTCTAAACATCCCTCTAAACCCATCCCAATAATAAAAACTTTATAAAAAAAAGTCTCTCTAACCAGCCCACCATTACACCACAACCAATGTTTCATTGATAAACATTGGTATTGAGAGGCCATTGTTTCCTGTTAAGTTGAGTAATTTTACTGTTTACCTTGTGAACAAGAACCAGACATACATGGTCACAGATTAGTGATTCTGGGGCTGTTCATTATTGATTCTAGACTTTTCTATCCACCAAACATCAGGTATATGTTTGTGTGTGATTATTAGTGTAAACAGCTATACACCATCTTCATATAAATACTTAACTTAGTGTGTAGCCTTCAGGTCTAGACTTTTGAAAAGTTTCAATTAAGAAGATGGAGTTCAATCATAGGTTACTGGTACTCCTGGTAAAATGATGATTGACCCTTGTATGTACTTATCAACAGTGTGTTACTGGTCCATGGGTGCTCATCACATTTGTTAACTGGGTATTTACTGCCTCTAATGTTTAAAAGGGTGAGTTTGTCTGCTGATCTATCATCAAAGTTCTCTGCCCACTGTTAGGCTGTATAAAATATGTACATCTTATCACACAATCTCAACCTCCTCAACTTTTCCTCTGTGATCCTATCTAGTGTAAAGATCCACAAATGTATTTATAAAGTAGCTTTGGATGTTTTTCTCTTCAACTGTTCAATGAATTTAGAATCATTACGGTCTTTTCCCGTTTTCCCGGTCTTTTCCCGTTTTCCCGGTCTTTTCCCGGTCTTTTCTATGTACAGCCAGATTTGTGACATAGAATGGTTTAGGTATGTCAGATAACAGTGAAGCCACAGTCCTCGCCTTTCAGAAGAGAGGTGAAGGTTAGGACAGAATTTTATTGCTATCCCTGGGTTGGATGAATGTTTTGTGTTTGTATTGGTGTGTGTGCTGGGGAGGGGTATAGTGTTGAGATGTGAATAGAAGCTGTTCAGTGAGTTTCTGAAAAGGGTAGACATAATTTCCCTGATATGAGGTTTTAAATCTTGTATCATCATTAATTGTTGAATGGAATAGAAGTGTTTGTGATATACCTGGTGAATCTTCCTACGAGTATGCAGATAGTTTTACATACCTGGTGAATCTTCCTACGAGTATACAGATAGTTTTACATACCTGGTAAATCTTCCTACACTTACATACCTGGTAAATCTTCCTACACTTACATACCTGGTGAATCTTCCTACACTTACATACCTGGTGAATCTTCCTACACTTACATACCTGGTGAATCTTCCTACACTTACATACCTGGT